TGGTCATGATACCCATGCCTAGCAGGGGATACTAAGCCAGTCGCTCACTCTTGAATTTTCGTTTATTCACAGTTCTTTGCCTGCTGGTAGCTCTAACTGCTCCCATGACTGCTCCACAGTCTACAAGTATTTGCCAGCATTTTTACAGCAAGGACACCTAGCCAACCAGCCCTCTTACAAGTGGCTGGGAAGTGGGAAAAATCCACCTCTGAACTTGGCAGTGACCACACAAACACCTGACCTCCAAGTGTAACCTCCCACTTATAGTGTGCTACTGTAACCCCCCCAGGGTTACAGTAGGGGAGGGGGCAGCAGCATCACTGTATCTCCTGCTGGTGTGTCTGTGATACATCTCAGGAGTAATCTGCTCACGGAAAATAAACTCTGGGAAGTTGAACAGATCTGTCATCTTACACTGGGGAACATGAGCTGTGCAGTTACTTCCCTAAAGCTGGTTCTAGTAATTTCTCATGCTGCTGGAATAGGCCTTCTTTCCCAGTCTCAAGGACACAAGGGCAAAAGGGCATAATACTATAGAGAGAGCTGCAGCTGATCCCTTAACTTAACACTTCTTTGGCTGCATTTCTAACTCTGTGTAAAATGATCCATCTCCACCAAGATTATTGGCACAGGAAGGACCAACAGCTTTACAGATAAAGTCTCAAAGGAGCAACACCTAGCCCAAGAACTGACTGTCAGGAGACAGGCAACACTACGTCAGAGCACACCCATTACTCTGTTTGCACTTATATTTGCAGAAGCCAGGCATGGGTTTTTCAAATATGTAACTTTCTTACAGAAAGGCAAATTATAGCTAAGAGCATCTTCAGTTGCTTTGTTCCAACAGGATCTTCTCTCTTTTATATATACAGTCAGCAGAAACTTGTCAGTTTACCACCAGGAGATAGTATGCTCAAAAGCCTTGCAGAAGGAAAACCTAGTTTAAAAATTTACATAAGGATTAGTGATACAAGAAGATTCCAAGAGAGAATTTACTCTGAGGGAGTGGGCAGGTGTTGTCTGAGCTGATGTGATTGCTGACAGTTTCACGGCCTGCTCTTCAGCCCTTTTCCCTGTGAAACAAAAGTCACCTGCCCAGGTTCCTGATGTCAATTTGCAGGATGCGTTTGGGACTGTCAGGGCAGCACAAGTTCCAGGTGGTGGCAGGTTGGGCCTGGGTTACATCCTGCACCGTTTAGAATTTCAGGAGGCAGTTGCCCACTCAGGGCCTCTGGCCCCTGAACACGAACTCCAGAATGTTTCAAATTGCAGAGTCATCCTGACTCTTGTACATTTTTCTCCTAATCAGTGAGACAGCTGGTAGCTGAATCATCTGAAGCTCAGAGGTAGAAGAAGGTACCCACTATCATATACATTACCAGGCCATGCTGGCACTGAGTAAAAACTTCTTGTTATGAGAAGGAAGAGGTGCAAACAACTTGCTTCCATGATCCATCAGGGATGAAACAGAAGGAAATAAGGCAGCAAGAAGAGATTGATGAGTGCAAACAGGAGGGGCACAGGCAAGAGGATGTGTTGCATAGATAGTTGAAGTAGCAATTGTTTTATAAGGATAACAAACTGTACAGATGCTAGAACTGTGGGAGGAGGCAGAGGTCAAACAAGACACTTGTGGAAGTGGCAGAGGCAGGAAGAACAGCATAAATGCTGAAATGGCAGAGACATGTCAGGATAGTAGGTAAGGAGTAACAGCAGCAGATCAGGGTGAAATGCTACTGGGAATGGGCACTAAGACACTACTCAGCCATTGCTGTTCTTCAGTGTTTGCTTTTTCTGGATCTCTTGGGCTGGCCAGAGGTAGAAGCTTTGGGACTTGAGCAGGTTATGACTTCTGAGATATTTTCTTGGAAATTTTTCAGAAATAAAAAACATCAAGGCAAAGCCATTAAAAATACCACAGAGTTAAAATATGCCCAAGGTGTCACATCCTTAACAAACAAGTTAGCCCCTCCTCCCATTTTGAAGTCAAAGGGACAAGATACACTGAAGGACTAAGGGAAGAAATGTTAATTACCATTCTTTCTCCTTCTCCACATTTGAATCTTGTGGATCTAGTTGAGAAAGAACACAAGGAAATGCTTTCATACTTAATAAGCTTGTGACCTAAGGAACAGCCACACCATGTGGGCAAGAACAGTAGGTAAGTATTGTTCAAATACCTCCTAGAGAAAGCAAGAGTGTCCCATGCTATAAGCACAAAAGATCTGTGGCCTCTGGAACAGAATTTATTTCTAATCCAAAATCAGTGATCCTAAACAGATCTTCTTGACTGTCACAGGGAGTACTCGCTCACAAGGAACATGATGCCAATTACAGTGATTTCCTAGATATATACCCTATGTTACATATCAAAATCAAAATTAGTTCAGCAGTTTTTTCTGCCCTGACCTAGAATCATGTTAACAGCCGCTTTGCTTGACCACTGACAGAGGTGAGACAAAACCCCAGGATGTGTCAAACAGGGGAGGGTTCTGAGATGAGTGAGGTGTCCTAAAAATTGCTTCAGTCTCCAAATCTGGAAAACGGTTCAGAATATTCATTGTCCTGACTGCCTTTTCTTGTTTATTGCTTCTTGGATGCCTTCCTCATCTTTCTCCAGTTCTCACTCTACCTCTTGATTCCCTGCAGAGCTTCTTCCTGCTTCTCTTCAATACCTTCAAATCTTTCCTCTGCATTCTGAGCACGGATCTCTGTTACTTTGAAACACAGAGGCAAAGTCATTGCAAAAACCTGAAATCTAAGGACCTGCTTTCAGGAGACCCAAGAGAAAGAAGTGGAGAGCTGAAGAGTCCAGTGGGATTGGCTGACTCTATAAAACATGCTTATGGTTTCAGAGAAGGGCATTGTTAAAAGATCTACAAAGGATTTTATGGTACATCTATGTAAACCTTGCAAATTTAATTGATTATAAAATTGAGTGTTTGCTAGCAGAGGGTGAAATGCTGATCTTCACTGTGAGAGGATAAAAACAGTGCAGAGTCAGTTCTATTAGCAGGGATAATGAGATGGGGTTTCCCTGGTTAATGCAAGCTCTCAGACAAAAGAAACACCTGCCTGAAATGAAACCCTGCCCTGCTCAGACCTCCAGCACAGGACCAGTACTCAAACAGCAGCACTTGCAGACATTCCAGTGCTGCCAGGACTTCAAAATCTTCCAGAGAAAAGGAAGTGAAGGACTTGTTGGCAGTCACCTCCCTCTGGCTGGAAAGGAAAAAACCTTTTTTTAAATGACTGTGAAACCAACAGTGCCACATTTAATCACATTTAATCAAAACAGAGTGTGCCTGGTTTGAGTTTGATGCTGGTGTCTCAGTTCACAGTCCCAACCCAGGCAAGAGCTCTGTGTCAGCAAAGCATGGAAGATCAGAGGCCAGGTCAGGCACTGAATGTATCTTGGCATTAAAAACAGACAAAGATCATTTTCTGATGCAGATATGAAACTCTCACTGGCTCATAGTCTTGGATTGCTTCTGCAGTCACTGGGTTACAGAGGTTGGAGATGGCTGTAGCTTGACCAGGAGCAAAAGAAACCCCAAAACACACAACAAAATATTTGGAGAACAGAAAGGACCAGCTCCTTATAGGGTTTAACAGACTTAAGTCAGCTTTCAAGTATGATTTTTCAATAAAAGTAACTGTTGGAAGGCTCCTGCTCTAAGCCTTGGAAGATAATTGTGATTTACAGGGATTTATTTCTGTAAAACAAATCAAAGTTCCATAAAGAAATGCTCCTATATCTTCCACTGGCATGCAGAACTGCTGCCCTTGGTCAGATAATTCATACCAGCACCTGGCTGCTGCTGAGAGAGAAAAGGAAATAAGAGAAAAGGAAAAAAGAAAACAAGGAGATACCACCAGCCTAGTGGAATTGAGGGTAGTTGTAGGGCCACATGTCACATCACACACTGTGAGTAATAAATAAAAATGTCCTGCTGGAAAGTAGCACATTGCAACTACTACAGTCACCTGCATAATAGCAGCTTTCTCTTTTACTTCTAATCTTTCTTTCTCTGTTACGGATTTCCTATTGGTGTTGGCATCTTCACCTTCAAACTCTTTTTGAGTTGAAGAAATGATAATCCTTAAAGTCCCTAAACTTCAGCTTTAGTTGCAATTCCTGTAAGGCACCATCAGAATCAGGTTAGTAATGTACTCCATTTGTCCATCCAAATAACCTAGGCAAAACCAGCTAGTCTCTGACTTTCTCCTGCACCTATCTAGACTTAAACTGAAGCCACCTAGAGAGTCCTGGGTATAGATATTTCTAATTAATATGCTAATTAATAACAAATTAATATGCTAATTACTTAACATTACATCAGCAGCCAGAAAAAGAGAGGCAGCATGAGTGCTTCAGCACTGGCTGTACACTGGAACAACATCACTCTGCCTTGGGATTGAGTTCAGAACCAGTGGGAACAAATTGTCCAAGACAATAAATCTGAGTCCATTTCCTTGTTGTCTGTACATAACCTGCTTTTTCACGAAAGCAGACTAATGCCAGGCCAGCCATCTATACAATGCAGCTCATTGTCACAGGCAGTCTCAAACATCCTTCCACATAAGGAATTAAATCAGAAGCTCAACCTGATCTCCTGGGCAAGACAAGCACAAAGATTGCAGCAAAAGTGCACCTCGATGGGTGAAGCAAAAGCCATCATGCACCATGGGGAACTGATCTACCAGGGCAAAAGAACTGAGACACACGACAAGCAGTCTGCTATCACATCACAGCAAATCCACCAGCCACAGGACCAGGTTTCTGTGCAGTTCAGTCACCTGTACAGAGCATCAGAGAAAACCTAAAACCACTAATGAATGACTGGTCTTGCCAAGTAATCTGAAGTTGGTGTATTTTACATAGGTCAATGTCCTACCTCATTCAATTTGCAAACTGATCCAATGACAGAAACATTTATTTTTACAGTTTTTTTTCTTCCATATTCATTATATGGATTTTATTCATTATTCATTCTTCATTTGGTTCTTGGCATTTTGGCTAAGATCAAGTGTAGCATCTGTTCTTATCAGTTTAATATCTGATACGTCTTCGATGAAAGGACTTCATATTAAACTGATTTTTTTTGGTGGGTTTTTTTTTTTTTTTTTTTTTTTTTTTTTTTTTTTTTTTTTTTTTTTTTTTTTTTTTTTTTTTTTAATGTTGTCTATTTAGACTTTAGCAAGGCGTTTGATCCTGTGTCCCACAGCATACTCCTGGAGAAGCACTCTTTGCTGGGCTCAGAACTGGCCCAGATAGTTGTGGTGAATGGTGAGCAGTGCTGCATCCAGCTGGGGGACAGTCACCAGTGGTGTCCCTTAGGGGTCTTTACTGGGACCAGTTCTATTTAATATTTTTATAGATGACATGGATGAGGGCATCAAGTCCTTCATTAATAAATTTGCAGACGACACTAAGCTGGGAGCTTGTGTTGATTTATTGGAAGGAAGAAGGGCTCTGCAGAGAGACTTAGATCGGTTGGATGGATGGGCAGAGTCCAACAGCATGAAGTTTAATAAGTCTAAGTGCCCAGCTCTACATTTTGGCCACAAAAATCCCCTACAAGGTTACAAGCTGGGGACAGTGTGGCTGGACAGTGTTTAGGAAGAAAGGGACCTGGGGGTGCTGGGCAACAGCCAGCTGAACACAAGCCAGCAATGTGCCTTGGTGGCCAAGGAGGCCAGTGGCATCCTGGCCTGCATTAGGAATTGTGTGACCAGCAGAGCAGGGAGGTCATTCTTCCCCTGTACTCAGCACTGGTGAGGCTGCATCTTGAGTGCTGTGTCCAGTTCTGGGCCCCTCAGTTTGGGAAGGATGTTGAGATGCTTGAGCACGTCCAGAGGAGGCAGCACGTCCACTGGGCAGCACTGACAGAACAAGCGGACACAGGCTCAAGCTACATCAGGGAAGGTATAGGCTGGATATTAGGAAAAAAATTTTCACCAAAAGAATAATAAAGTACTGGAATTGTCTTCCCAGGGAGGTGGTAGAATCACCATCTCTGGAGGTGTTTAAAAAAAGACTGGATATTGCACTTGGTGCTATAGTCTAGTTGAGGTGTTAGGGCAATTGTGGGACTTGATCATCTTAGAGGTCTCTTCCAACCTCATTATTCTGTGACTCTGTGAATCCACAGCCTTAGGAGAATGAAGTAAAACCACAGAGAGCCAGCAGGCCCCACTGCTCTCTGAACGATAAACATCAGTGTTATTCCAGAGGAACTCTTACTAAGGGTGAAACAATAAATTTGTGCTTGTGCACTGTACAGGAGACCTTGCAGCTATTTTTAGAGGAGCTTTCCTCTGCTCCTTTGGCTGGCAGACAAAAACCACAACTCAAATAGGAAAGAGTCAAAAGAGAAACAAGTGCTCATCACAACTGTGCTCTGGCCAGAGGGAGATGAAAGGAAATACTGCATAGTAGATAGAAATCTCTTAGCCCTAGCAACTGCAGTCTTGTGCTTCCTTTTTCAGGAAGAACCTAATTCAAGAATGGAACCCATTGCTGGATCATCTGACAAAAAATCCCAAGGTACCACCAAAGAAAGCCCCAAATCCAGAAGCAAAGTGATCTCCAGACCTGAAGAATTTCCTGTCTCAAAGATATATTTTGCTTCCCAGCTTAAAACCCCCAAGTATATTTAAGCACACCATATGCTGGAAACCTGACACAGGCTTTTTTGTTAATTCTCTAATTGTGGGCAAACCTGGCATTCACAAGGAATCTTGCACAACCACATTATGAATGTATTCTGCAAATTATTTATTTCTTGATGATATTTACTAAAGACAATGGAGCACCATGGAGAAGAATATGCCCCCACATATCTGACTCCATATGAATCACTCATTTTGGTGTTGTTTTTTTTTTTTTTTTTCAAATGTCAAGATTTCCAAAGCAGGTGGCAGTTCTGAGGAAGATGGGGGTGTTGCAGGAAGGATATTGAAATCTCCAGCTGTACCCATAGGTGCTGCCAAACCAAAGCAAATGAAAGGCAGTCACCAATCACTTTAACACTTTAATTGAGCACATTTATCCCACTCCACCAGGGGCCCCACAAAAGGACATTTTTCAAGAGTAGTTTTCTCTAAAAACTAATTAATTAGTTAATTGCAGCCCAGATGCAATTAACACCCATATCTTACAGGAAGAGCGGTTTATCATCACTCTCAGCTTTCCTGCAATGGGCTGGAGCCTGTACAGCTCCTCACTGCATCTGCCTGGGGCAGTCAGGCAAGAATCTTGTGATAAAATGCTGGGAGCTTGGCTTCCTGCATGCTAGGACCTCACTTCAACTTTCACACCTTCAATACTTCTACCCAGTGCTGTCAAAAATCCAGCTGTGCCTGCAGGGGAAGAAAATGCAACCTTTAATTATAATTCCTTCAGCCAACAAAAACAAAACTGGGTTTTGTGAGGGATGCCAAGAGGGATGAACAGCCTATGTGGGAACTGGCTACACTCAGGATTGAGAATGAGCTGTTTAATAAACACTGGATACAAAGCAAGCTGAAAGAAAGTAGGTTTGATGTAAAGCCCTGATTTCTTGTCTTGGCAGATTTGGCTCCTTCATTGCACAAAGGCTTAATATAATTCTTTTTAAAAGAGCCTTGCAGTTACAATCACATTCTTCAAAGAAGCAGGTGATGCAGATGTGAAAAATGCCAGGATAAGGTAATAAATTACTTGTCCATTCACTTATCTAGACATGCTGATTCCCCCTGTTTTTTGGGGAATATGCTTGAGATGTAACAGCAATGCCTGCTCTTGATAGCCAATGTTTAACCTCAGCTAAAATCCTGGGGAGGTCTTGGTCTCCATGACATCTTGTAGCAAAGTTGGCATATAAAGCACACAGTGGGAAGGACAGATCTTTTATATTTCAGTGATTTTTATGAACCATGCATGATTTTGATGCATAGCTTGGTCTCCCCTCTGCACAGCTGTGCAGTAGGGCTGGTTAACTTCTGGTTTGGGAGAAGTGCAATGAAGCAGAGTTGGGATGTCCAGATTGGTAAGAAATGGAGTAATTTACCTTCTGTAGGATGGAGCTTTTTAGAATGCACAATGGAAGCTCCACAACCAGCCATTAGATTTGAATTATCAGGAGGCCAAAAAGAAGCAGTAGGAATGATTATTGCTTAAGTTTTCCTGCTGTGCAGCATCATCTTAAGGGGAAAGATAAAGTAGGTCCCATGAGGGCATGGGATGAGGGAGAATAGTCACTTGGGAGCACTTCCATGGGGTTTGGCCATATTAGCCCTTACAAGTATTTTGTTATCCTTACTAAATAGCAGCTAGCTTTGGGAAGGCTGTCTTGTGTTATTGCATTGATCTTAGCACTTAATTAAAACCCAAAAAAAGAGAGACCTAAATGAAGCTCACTGGAGAGGTCACTCTAGTCCCAAGTGCAAATTCCAGTGTAAAACCACACCTTGTTCTCACAATGGTACTCTGTGAAAACTTTAAGAAGTGATTGAGGAAGACTGAATAAAAGCTCAGACCTCAAGCCAAACCTTAAAAATTTCCTGTAAGCACTTTCTTACGTGTCCTTTCTAAAACAATCTCATCTGTCATTGTTCTCTCTCCCTCCCTCATCCTCGTCATCAAAAATTTGTATTTCTGTCACATGCTGCATGAGATCAGGTAACTGGATCATAGAATATATACTTCAGTTAACTGAGGGCCCTTGTCTTACAGGACAAAAGTACCATGTTCTGAGTATTGTCTCTTAACTATTCTTTATAATCTCTCTCTCATTTTCACTGTTTCTTACAAAAAAAGAAAAAAAACCAAAACATTGTAAAGAGAAAGGATACCTTGTGTTTTCTGTTGAAAGGCCATTCATTACATTACAATGCAAAAATGAACCCAGGCCATTCAAAACTCATTGCCTTGTATGGATCAAGAGAATAGCTTGCCTGTGGCCCAGTTCCTAAAGTCTGAAAATGAGCTAAGATTTCTTTTTCTGGGCTCTACTGGCTGAAGAAATTTTGGATCAGATATCCACACTGTGCCTGTGCTCAGACCATGGCTAACTGTGACAATCTGCTGTTAACCTTTTACCATGGTGGTGTCTGGCCAATTCTAGCCCATTCCTTCATCTCACTCTCCCTTTCTTAGGACAACAACTTATTTCTTTCCTTTAGCTATGTCATCTCATTTTCTAGGCTGCAATATGGCATGTAGCATAAGCTAATGCAGGGAAAAGGACAGGATAACCCTGAGTGAAGGAATAAGATGACAATATGAGAAGCAGCTCAGCAAACCTGAGTAACACACGTGCAGTTTAGTTTTAGTCTGAATAAAATAAATAAGATTATTAAAAAACCAGCAAAGATGAAACATTTTGGAAATCAGGAACGAGTCAAGGTCTTGCAGACGAAAAGGCTGAGAAGGTTAGTTCAAATTACTCAACAATTGTTTGTTATCTTACACAACAGATGATAAATTGATATCAACAAAGAAAACATTTACTTACATACTTTATTATCAGGATAATTCAGAATCTAAATGAAGATAACTTTGCATTACTGATAAGGTAAAGAATATTACCCTCAGAGAGTGCTATCTGGTTAATGATCTTCAAAGTGATGGTTTACTCTACATTTTAACTGTTCATACTTTCATTTTCTTTTCCATAAATCATCCACATAATAACAAACCACCCACTCTCCCACTGAACATTTGATTTTCCTGTGTCATATCTGCACTGCATGTTCTTTGCACTATATCACATTTAAAATTACAGGAATTTTTTTTACCTGTGACTGCAAATCAAGTTTCTTGGAGTTTATCCCTGGAATGCTCTTGATTCTCAGCACATATCTGGGGATCCATACTGGCCTTTTCCAAAGCTAAATACTTTAGCTTTGGAAAAGGCCAGTACACATTAGGTCAAGTGGTCCCTTATTATCTGTTACTCCCTTGATATACCAAATTAAAGACTGAACTGCAAAATTGGTTATGACTTACCATTCCCCCCACTTTTCCTTCTATTGGAATCCCAGTAGTTTACATGACCTTTGGTTTTTCCTTCCAGGGCAGGCTGCCATGGAGACAATGCCTCCTTACTGCTCTAGGTCTGCTTTTAGCATCT